AAGAAATCGGTTCATAAATACGACTTTTATAATTAACGCGACTCCCGCGCCACCTAGCGGGTCTATTTTTGGTAAACGTGTTTGCCATCATGCTGGTAGCTCACGTTTTGAATTTAAAAGAAATCGGTTCATAAATACGATTTTTATAAATAACTCGACCCCAGCGCCACCTATCGAGTTTTATGGTAGCCTATAATAGGACCATATATGCAAGGTATAACCTCTGAAAATTTGACCGAAATCTATGCAGTAGTTTGAGTTAACTCCGAACAACGAAAACGGCTATTATTTTATATATATAGATTTGTTTACCCCGAACGACGTCGGGTGCTCTGCTAGTCTATATATATAAAAATGAAATGTTTTCCGTATGACGGCGATACCTGACCAAACGGCTGAACCGATTTCAATTCTGTAAAAAGTACTGTTTTGCACCTTCCGTCTGGAAGGTTTTTCTATTTAAAAAAATTTTAAATTTTTTGTTGCTGTTGCCGAAAAATAAAGAATGCTGAGACGTCACGAATTCACAATTTCATAGAGTTTTCCGTATATTGTATTTCACTAAATTACCAAACCGCTGAACCGATTTCGTTTATATTTGGAGCATATACTAAAAATTTGATCGCTAGGTGGCGCTGGGGTCGGGATATTCATAAAAATTGCATTTACTTGCCGATTTGGCTCATANTCTATATATATAAAAATGAAATGTTTTCCGTATGACGGCGATACCTGACCAAACGGCTGAACCGATTTCAATTCTGTAAAAAGTACTGTTTTGCACCTTCCGTGTGGAAGGTTTTTCTATTTAAAAAAATTTTAAATTTTTTGTTGTTGTTGCCGAAAAATAAAGAATGCTGAGACGTCACGAATTCACAATTTCATAGAGTTTTCCGTATATTGTATTTCACTAAATTACCAAACCGCTGAACCGATTTCGTTTATATTTGGAGCATATACTAAAAATTTGATCGCTAGGTGGCGCTGGGGTCGGGATATTCATAAAAATTGCATTTACTTGCCGATTTGGCTCATATTTACAAAACAATTTAGCCAATTTAAAAGAAATATTTGGACTTGAAACTTACACGATAGGTGGCCCTGTGGCCGAGACATCCCCAAAAATTATTTTACGCAAAGAGAAGGATATATCTACTATATATTTGTGGAAGTATGTATGTATGCATGTATGTGCCAGGTTGCAGCCTAAACGGACGTACAGAATCGAACAAACTTTTGACAGATTATTGCCATGACACCTGGGCCTATAATAGGGTAAAAAAAATTGGGAATCGACAAGGGGGCGTGGCACCTCCCATAGGCGGGAAGTTTGCTATCAATCATAACTTCGGAACCATAAGTCACATGAACTTGAAATTTGCTATACAGTCATATATATGGTAGGTGCTTATAGTATAGTACAAATAAATGAGTTTGTAGAAGTGGGCGTGGCACATCCAATAGGCGTGGAATATTTTATCAGCTATAAATCCGAAACTATAAGTCATATGAACTTGAAATTTGTTATTCAGTCACACAGATGGTAGTTGCTTATATTAGGGTATATATAAATGAGTTTGTAAAAGTGGGCGTGGCACATCCCATAGGAATATTTTATCAGCTATAAATCCGGACTATAAGCCACATGAACTTTAAATTTGGTATACAGACATAACTATGGTAGGTGCGTACAGTAAGGTATATCCCAGTAGGGAAACCGCGGACTAGTGAATCAAATTTCTAGTTCCGTACTAGGTCTTTATCGCCAAAAAGGAACTAGGCCGATAGGAACTAGAGCCCTACCAGTCAAAAATCGGCGAAAAGTGGCACTTTTAAAAAACTAATTTTTTTCAGTTTTTTTCACTAGAAATCTATATCTAAAGTGACGAATTTAGAAATAGTTCGGAACTATAGAAAAAGGGATGCAGAACGAACTAGCTCGGAACTATCGAATAAGGGATGCAGCGGGGGGCTTGTTTACTTTACATAGATATGTATTCGGCGGCGTTTTCGCTCAAATGCGCTTCTATTCTGTGCTTCGCAGATGCTTTTTCATAGCTTGGTAATACAAAACTAAAATTTGTGTTAATATTTTAACATCTTGGGACCGTCTGGAATCTGAGAAATAACAGCGAGCACCTCTGCAAACTCAGCTACAGCTAAAGGTATGTAAACGTACATTTCTTGCAATCATTCAAACAAATTTAATTTCAAATTGAAAACACATTTCTTCCAAAATAACTTAAAATCCCACACACGGAAGAACCAAAAAGATTGAAAAATCATGATGCTTTTTTCTTTCGTCTGTCGATTTTTGAACTAGGCGTGGCTAGGGTGGCCAGATATTATAGTGACATAATCAGTACAGTTGGGATCAAAAATCAGTACAAAGTCATAAAAATCAGCTAATTTTTAAGCGTATTTTTTATTATTAACAATATAACAACCAAATAACAGCGCATTAATTTAACAAAAAGTAACTAATAGACTTTTAAATACATATAGTATAATCAATATAATAATTCATTACTTTAAAACAAAACAAAGGTATTACGTATGTATGTACAGCTGTGCTCAGGAAAATAGTAGTAAAATCTATTGACAGGTTTTGAAAATTTTTTCTTTCCTTGCTTGGTCCCGAACAAAACCACACAGGGCGCGAATAACTTACGGCGGCGAAACTAGCAAGGCAATGCCCGAAAGAAAATAAGTAATTACCACGTTACCGTGAATTCAAAGGCGGACGAACCTATCTCTTTATTTGCTTCAGGTGGACTGACAATGCATTAAACTTACTGCTAACTACAAAGCGTACCTTTTTATGCATTCAAATATGTACATACATAAAGTGGACTGTATAAAAGGAGTAACTGTTACTACATACCAATATGTTTGCTTATGTACATACGTACATACCTACCGACGCATAACAGAGAATTGAACTAACTTAGATAAAGAGTGTGTCGTTCCGCAACATACCGCCCCCGCTGAACCATTGGTTCAGGTAAGTGGTAAGACCGCAATTTTTGCAATTGGCCGAATATATTGACCACGAGACGTTTGTATGGTTGCCACTCGAACCAGACCATCGCTTCCTCGGTTTGCTGTCACTACCCCAGCAAAAAATCGGTAATCGCTTTTAGTGGTAACGTGTTCTAGAAGGCATAGCGTTATAATGCCTTCGAATTTTTCCGCTTCTTTTAGGCATTGCCGGTAATGCAA